AGAATTAATTTGAAACTTTTATTTTTATATAAATCTAAATTATAGTTACAAAAAATAATATTTCGAAATACATCAAATATATTATTGTTTATTGAGAAAATTATGCTGCTTGTAGGTTGTTATGTAAAGTTCTACTTTCCTCAATAAGATTTCTACAGAAATATTTTTCTTATAAAAAGATATATTTTGCAGAACATATAGTATCTTAAGTAAGTAAATATTATTATAAGTTTTATTGACTTGTTATAATTGCTTTCCCCTTACTTTCTTTACTTAGATATTTATTTTAGATTATTTATTCTTTTATTTTGTTATATAAAAAAAAAAAAAACAAAATTTATATATATTATAGACACGAATGTATCGTCTTACAATCATTAAAAGCTTAAAAAAGCCATAGGTTTATATTTGCGCAATTTTTTTTACTTTTACAAACAACAACACTACGAAGAAGAATTAATTATTATGCCAATCAGCTGTCATAAAAAATAAATCTGTCCAAATCTTTAAACATAGAGCAAAAGTATTCTCCGTTGAAATAATTAAAGGAATTCAATTCATTGAAGAAAGTTAATTACAGCGACGCAGATTTTCCAATCAGCCAGAAGCCAGCTCGTTAAAATCTCCAGTCAAATCTCAAGGAGAGACCTTCTCGTTTAGTGAGCAGAGAATCAGTCGCATATTAGTCTGACAGTTGGCACAGCATGGCGGTGCCTCGCAGAATCCAATGCTCCGACGGATGCGACGTCGGTAGCCAGATCGCGATGACGAAATTGGTTGAATGGCCGGTGGTCGACAGCACGCCCCTTCGCTCGCTGGTCTTGTACACTGGACACGTATACGTGTCTTTATCCTGCACCTGATCCTTTGTTACCGGTATTAACCAAATCTGAAAACGCGTAACGCGTGAAGGTAAGTCGACGCAGCTTGCAACGAAGATATTAATATTTAAAGCTTCCTTGCGCGATTAAAAAATTTCGGCTGTTCTTGAGAAAAAGCATTCTTGGAAGTGTCCCAGAAAGTCGTATCGTTTTCACAAAGGAATTTGTGAATTCCTGAATTCTACTCTGAGCGCTATTCTACGGAAAATATAAAATTTCGTGTTTAAAGATTCGTGTTTACTTACATAAGGCACGATATCGTAAAGGATCTTCGGGAAGGATTCGTCAAGCTTCATTGTAGTCATATTGAAGCGAGCTCCATCGAGAAATAATCCGTAAATGTATACTCCATCGTCCGGCGGATTTGTAAAAACAGTGTCTTTTAAGGGGACAAAGTCGTAGATCAGTAAATCGATGGGGATTGAATATTTCCTTGCATAATTCTGACGGGCACCGGTGAGAAACGCTTGCGTGAAATAGAAACCGGAAATCCAGAAAGACGTAGGAGGACCTTCCGTGTACCAAGTCTAAAAAGAGCAGTTGCTCAATTTAATTGCTATATAATTAATTAAGATAATCACAGTGAAGAATATTATTACTTAAGTAAATCTGAAAATCTGATTTATTACAAAATTTAGTGTTTTACAATTTTATCGAATTGTACATATAAAATTTCTAAATAAATAAACATGTGAGCGGTTACACTAACAAGTTATTGTTAAAACAGTTAGTAAAATTTGATTTTAAAATCAAAAAGTTTAATAAATTTTAAAGTTACAACTCAATTAAAAGTCGACGATTAAAAAATAATTTAAGAAGACGCGCGAATTTATTTTTATGGCAAACAGAATAGTTTAACATTTAATTTATTTTCTTTTAATTTCACCTGAAGAAAATTTAGTCTCTTTAGAAAGTCGTGCATATAACTGCCGAGCGGCTTCAAGGATGGATAAGAATGTCTCATCCACATCTTAGGTATCCTGCCGATGATGATCGACAAGTAAACTTCTTCAAGATCGGGGCTCATTATCACCAGGCCTAAAAGTATGAGTAAAATTTAAAAGGCACTAATAAATGTAAGACTCGAAATGTAAAAACTCGCTTCTTTACCCTTAATCGCCTTCTGGACGTTTATGAGGCTACTCCGAATGGTCTGTAGGAGTTTATTGAATCTGCCCATCTCCTGAACCAACACGGTATTCATACTTTGCTCGTACAATGTGGGATATTTTTCCTGAACGACCATCAGATCATAGTCCTGCGGTAGCCTTGACAGGACATCGGACGCGACGCTGTAAACAATCTTGTCCGGTGATTTCTCGATGTCTATTTCTGCTTGGGCCACGTCCTTTGATGAAAATCAGAAGAAACTCATGAAAATCGAAAGATCTCTTTAACACCGAATGCTCATGAACTTCAATAAAATCGCTGTACCATATTGATAATTTTATTAGAAAACTCGGATGACTAAATAGAATATTTTCTATAAATTAAAGGATTCGACTCAAAGTTTAATAATGTTATTTCCTGTAACGTTGAGTACGGTCAAAAGCTTACTACAAATGCTTTGAAGCATTTTTTCATTGGTGCATTAGTAAAATTCTTTGTTTTGATTGGACAATCAAACGCTTCAAAGCATTTAGTGTACAGTAGTGTTACATTGACCGTAGCCGTTATTATTATTTCTAATAGATATTACAATGTTTGAAAACTTCCGTCATATTATTTTCATACATTTAAGTCTAATTTATCATTCTACTAATATTAATATAAATAACTTTTTGTTTTATTTTGTAAAAAGCAAAAAATAAAATATTCTTTCTTACAATCAAATAATATTTTTGGTAATTAATTCTATGTAAATATTTTCATAATGCATTTAAAGATTTTTGGATTATCATCTTCCTCAATTTCCTTCCGCAATACCGATCGCAAAATTAAACGATATCGTTATTTAAGTTATTTCAGCTTCGTGAAAGCTTTTTTATGTAAATATTACTTACTTTGAACTCCTCGGTATTCTGGGCAAAAATGAAAAGCAACAAGAATTCTCATTATGCGGTCATATTGGAAGCACGAAAAATTAAATAAAAATCAGAAAAAAGTTACAAATTATATTTAAAGCAAGAGTGCACTTTGTTCAGTTTACATTCAAAATTTCAATTCTTACACAATAGTAGTCACGCAATTATCAAAAAAACTTTTATAAGAAAAACATCTCTATTGAAACAATACGTATGTGTGTGTTTTCTTTTTTAAATTAAAAAAAAAATATATATATATAAAAATTAGGAAAAGATTTGATTTAATATCGTAAATTTTACTTATTATCGTCAATGTATCCATAATAAAATAAGAAATTCTGTTTAAAAAGTTCTTATCTTTCTCAAATCACACTTTATCGCCTTTGTATAATTTATCTCGACTTGAATACTTGTTTTCTTAATTTGTGTACGATCTAAATGGTCTTTACTGAAAAAGAGTGACCGAAGAAGAGTGACAATCAATCTCGATACTCGGTTTAATACCTGAGTAGTCAGAATGGAGGATAGTATCAAGTAGCTCTCCTGCTGATCCTTGATGATGTCAACGTTCTCGTGCATGCCAAAGACGCTGGGCGCGGTCGTCATTGGCAATTCTCTCACGTAGTCTAGAAATTGACTATACTCGCTGACCGCCGGTATGTAATAAAGACCACTGGGATCGAACAGATATTTCTGATCGGCCACGATCACATCCTTGTGATAGAATCGCGTCAGGATAGTGTTCAGAGTCCGTCGGTCCCATTCGTCTGTCACGCGACCGCCGTAATTGCATTCGCCTCAAAAAAAAAAAAAAAAAAAAGAAGAAAAAAAAAAGAGAAAAAATTAATAAAAGGCACGTATGCATAACTTGTTGCTTATTGTAATTTATTAATGCTTTAAATATCCTTTTAACTTTATAATTCATGACACACAAAAAAAATATAATTAATGTATTTAATATGAATATTATATTCAATGTTTTTTCTTAGATAAGATCATTGCGCGCATATTAGCTCCAGTAATTAAATTTTAATTTAATTCCGAGTCTAATAGAATAGTCTTAAAAGAATTTGAAGCGTGACTTATCCATTATCCATATAAAAAAAAAATATATAAATTTGCTTGTGCGACAGAATAAAAAAATATAAAAAATGTAAATAAAAGTTTAGATGAGAAAAAAAGACGTTACGTTAGAGATTTAGTTCAGATACCAGTTAGATACTTCAATGCGGTGAACTGAACGTCGTCGTATTGGTCGAGCAAGATCTTAAGTTGCAGCACGCTGATACGTAAATCCGTCTCGTTGAATTCGTACTGATTGTTCCAACCGATGGGCCCAAACTTCCGTCGTTCCTGTACGATGCCGTGAAAGAAGCAGAGCGACAAGAGCAACCGTTTGAAAGTATTCCGCTGCTTCGACGTATCGTGAAAATCGGGATCGCATATCGGGTCCTGCCATCACATTTAACCGGATTTCTGAGTTAATCTTTTATCTCGTTCGCGAGCGAATCAAGGAAATTGTCTCTACCTGGTGAAGAGATCGCAGAATATTTGCGCGCAATCCTTTGGGTGGTTCGTTCGTCAACTTCACGCCGTTTTGCAGGACGCTAACTGGAAAGTGCGCGACCGGATAACTTGTCAACCATAACCGGAAGTCAGGATGCACCGTTTCCTTCGTGAAGCTTTCGCATATCTAAATACAAAATTAAAAACAGAACAAAATAAAAGTAATAAGAACAAAAGTAATAAGGAAGTAAAAAGATTTATTAAAAAAATTAAAAAACACTTTGCGCGAGAAAAATTACTTAACATTAGAAATATCGAACGGTCAGTTTCTATTTTTCTTAATTAACAATAATCTTAATTTTTTCTAGTATCAAAGGATTTATCAAAAATTTTCTGATCTTAATATTCCATCAGGATAAAAATTGATAAAAAGTTAAAAAATTTTAAAATTATATCTCTAATACGAAGAAAACATTAATTTAAAAAATAAAAATGATCAAAAATGGTCGCTTTTAACTTTTAACGTTAAATTTAGATTTAATGAAAAGTTTTTACTGGTTATGTATTTAAATTCACACACGAATGCAGAAATGTGCTAAATTTTAAATCAAATAATCCTGAATTTAAATACCTTATTTAATTTACAGAATTTAATAAATCTTTTACGCATTACAAACGTAAAATTAACTTCAAATTTAAGATTGAATTTAATAAACATGTTAAAAGTGTAAAATCTTGATTGAATTATATAAAGTTCAATCTGCTATTTTTATAATCTCTTTAATTGTTTAATAGATTAGATTTGTAGGATTCAAAAGTTACTTTCTCTAGAGTGACCATAAAAGTCTTGACAACGTGACAATTTTGCAGCACCACCCAGGTGCCGCTCTTCACGCCCTCATCTATGAGACCCTCGGCGATGATTCCCTGACCTTGGCCCAGAGACAAGGAGAACAGCCTGGTGGCACCGAAGCCCTGATCGTCGGCGAATTTCAGAAGGAGCGCCATAGGATCCGCGCCAGGTGTCAGGACGAATATGAGCGGGATGCAGGAATGCGAGTCCGCGAAAGATGCCGCCAGGTCGAAGAGCGGTGGCACGATATACTGAGGCCCTAATTGTTCTATCGGATGATCAAAATTTTAGGCAGATAAAGCAACAACAGAAAAATGTCCGGCTACATTAAATATATGAGACAAGTTTCTTTCATATTTTACAGGGAAATAGAAATAAGGATATGAAGGGATAAAGCGTTGTACATAGAGGGATCTACCTCCCATTGTCGTAAAGAATTTAATTTCGCCCTTTCGCTCGAAATATATGGCGTGTCCTAGATTCCCCGTACCATACCCTTCATCTCAACCGAACTATTTTTAGATTTTAGTGGCCTCCTTTCTTTTTTAACAATTTTACCTTCGACGAATAATTGCATCGCCGGCACTACTTTGTCAGGACGGATGCATCGAAGCACCAGCATCCTTTCGAATTTGCTCAGTTTATTCCAAGGAGCGGGAAAGGACAAAGTATGAGGCTCCTTGTGATCGAATATCTTCTTCCACTCGTCGATATTTCTCGTGTATGAGTCTCTTATTCCCTAAAACCAACAGAGTACAAAAAAAAACGACTTTATTAGCACTAATTAAAATTTCATATCTTAATAAATTTTCATAAGTTAACTATGATTTAATAAATCAGTAATTAATTAAAGCAAAATTGATGATTGAAATTTAGGAATATTTCAATTTAATTATTTTTATAAAGAAATTTTATTGGTCTTTATGAGGAAATTTAATTTTTTTAGAGAAACATTTGTATTGATTTATGTTAATTTACAGCAGTGAAAGTTTACCGTAAATCCTGGCACGTCGTCCAATCGGCAAAGCTCATCCCAGGACCTCGTCGGCAACCACTCGGTAGGATTGACGAAGGGATTCTCAAGGCCAACGCCGCCGGTCAACAGAAACATCCACTGGACCATCGAAAGCTGGCCTTGCTTATTCAGTAAGTTCACAGACAGCAGGAACGAGAAGAGCAGCTTGTCCTTTTCGAAAAGAGAACGGCATATGTTGACGTACAGGGAGTAGGTGAAGCTCCTGGTGAGGTCCTTCAGACGCTGCTTTATGTCCTCCACTGGCGGCGTGTTATCGATCGTATTCTTGAAAAGATTGACGAACCAGGCGAGGGAGTACTGATACATCGGATCGATATTTGCCAACATGACTATAAAAGAGATGAACAAATAACATTGCATTCGATAATTCGCAAAATTCTATAATAATAATTTTATAATAAGCTTATTCTAAGTTATCACATGATTTTTTTTTTATAAATTTTGCATAAATTTTAGATTAATATTACTTTGAATATAATTAATTTCATCTAATTTTAAATATTTATTTATTTATTTTTTATAAATTTTGTACATAGATTTTATAAATATATATTATAACAATTTAAAAAAGTAGTTAAGACTTTTGCGAAAATTTGACATTTTTTTGCAATTTTTATATTACAGATTATATAATTTTTCGTATTCTGCTTCGTGTATTATATTTTAACAGAATCAACGTGCGATTGCTTCAAATTAAGCCACTTTCCTGTAAACATTACTTCCATTTACAGTCTTGCTTACCAATTGTGAAGAAGAGAACAGTGCTGTAGACCGCAATTGGTGTATATTGCAATCTCGCCGCGTCAATGGATTTCTCGGTAATTTCGGCAGCTGTTTGTTTACTTTCTATTTCGTTGGCAAGATTTTTCGAAGAGCTCAACACCCTGATGGCAGTTTCATCTTCGAGGATATTCTCCTTGGACGCAAACAGTACTCGCAAAATCTTATTCTCTATCTCCTTTAACAATCTGCGAAATATTATGAAATATTACGAAATATTGCTGTTTAAAACAACGTTTAAAACAACGATAATTTTGAATTGTGAATTGACGAAGCTTTACAAAAATAATATTTAGTTACATACAAAATCTGTTTTATTAACATATGTATATTCATTTATTTATTAGAGAATTATCGGCACTTAATTTCAATCAATTAAGAATAAATGATAAAAGCTCATCAATAAATATTGATCTTATTAATTTTCATCTTGGTGTCATAAATATATCTTCTAATATGTAATATTTTTATAAATATAGAATATTTAATATTCATATATTTAAAAAAGTAATTTTATAATATTTTATTTATTATTTATTATATTATATATATCTATTATATATATTATTTATATATATATATTTAAAATTAAAAAAATATATATACACTATATATATTATATATATAAATATAAAGTATTTTATTCATACTTTTTATTAGCCGCTCCTTGAATTATCAGCTCATTTTTCTGTGATTCAAGCTCGGGTCTTTCTTTTGCAACAGCTATACCTAGAAGCTGATCATCCAAACCATCTGGGGTGATCATAAAATTTAGCAGAGTTACCTTTACTACCACTTCTGGTAGATAATGCGGATTTCGTAATTTCGTGGTGATGTAAAATCTACAAGAATTACAAAAATATTTACTATCAGAATATATAAATAAATTTCATAAACGTAGAAAAATAAATTATAAAATAAGGCATGAGAAATAAATGATAAATTAATGAATACTATATATCAAAATCTTATTCATCAAATTTCCTATTGTTTCATGTTTAAGGATTATTAAGAATAAATAAAATGCAAATAATGTAATTTGTAAATTACACGTTCATATGTAGTGTGTCAAATGGAATGAAAAATTTTACAGGTTTACCGGAACTTTTCGGAATATTCGATGATGCTGTCGCCTAACTTGATGTACAACGCACCACCAGATCTAAAGGTCTGTTTCATCAACAATGATTCTAGAGCCGGGTCCACTTCCTCGTCGATGTTTTCCAATAGCACCGGCTGTCCGAATTGTACCGCATTCTCCAAAGTCCTCATGTAATCCGGTTGTGTCAATCTGATGACATGCAAATTCGATGCTTTCTCCATATTCTTTACCCACTTATTCGCCTGACTTTGCGGGTCAATCATGAGCGGCCAGCGTCGCGAATTCGTAACAATTATGGCATTGTCAATGGAGAATAAGTCGGTGGGCAGGCCGAATATATTCCAGGCGCGGATAAGCACTGGATCGCCCAGCACCTGCGTGAGCTGAAAATCTTGAGTACAGACAACCTTCAGATTGGTGCAGTATGCCACCCAGTCGTCCAGCTGCTGCTGCCGATACTGCATCGTGAAGACGCCGAGGTAAGCTACCACGCCGGAACCGATCAAGATATCCCCTGTTAATCTATAGTAGCTTTCTCCAAGCGATCTGACAATAATCATAAAATGTCAAGTTTAGATATTATGTAAAATTGCGAATATTGCCGAGTGAAAAAACAACATAATGGTTTAGTGAATCTTTAAATATTAATTAAAAATTTAAGACCTTCAGAAAATAATTTTTGTGTTTTTTTAATAAAACAATTTTTTAATAGATAGAATAAAGAATTAATTAAGATTTTCTTATTTTTTAAATTAAAAAAATAGTTTCAATTTATTTATTTTGAAATAAATTAAATCGTTTTCATGTTGCCTTTTGATTTCGGGGGGAGGAAGGGGGGAGGGGAGAGAGAGAGAGAGAGAGAGAGAGAGAGAGAGAGAGAGAGAGAGAGAGAGAGAGAGAGAGAGTTCAGATAATAAAGCGATAATAAAGTATTATTACTTGGCAGTCTCGGACCATCTGGTGTATTCGCCACCGAGACCTCCGATCAACTCTTCAGCCCTTCTCAGTTTTTCCTCGCAATCCTTAACTTCGTCGGTCATCGCCCGGTATTCGGCCCTTCGTTGCGCCAGCAAAGTCTCCAATTTGGCCAATCTTTCCCGCACCTCCCGCAGTTGATTTCTCTTCAGTGTCAGCTGTTCCATCGCTGTAGAAAAATCGGCTTCGGCCTTCGCCAAGGCCCGTTTTTTGGCGCCACTACTTTGGCGACTTTGTCGTACTCCGATAGAGCAAACACCCAACGGCAGAGACCCTCGCAGGCGGTCGACACATATCTGATACGTTCCGGGTCGAAATTCGGATTCGTTAAGATTGTCGTGCGAATGGTGGTCATGATGTGTTCGGGAATGTTGTCTTTGTCATAGTTTAGCAATGATTCCAGAAATCGTATGTCGCCCAAAATGCGAAGCGATGGCTTCCAGTAATCGTCTATCGGGCCTTCCGGACCTTGTACCTTTTCCGGTTTCACATCCTATATGATTTTCAAGGTTTCTTATAAATAAAAAGAATTTAAATCTGAGAAGGACGTTTTGACATTTAAACTTGTGTATGTGTGTGTGTGTGTGTGTGTGCGCGCGCGCGCGCGCGCGCTCGCGCGTGTGGTGTGTGTGTATGCATTACTAAAATTACGTATTATATATCATAATATTTATATATATTATAAATTTACATATTATATCTGCTTGCTATATTTTATTATACATTAATTATACATTCAATTAGATATGTTTCAATAAATATTATTACGTATGTGCATTAATATTTATATATTATTACTCATGCAGATTGAAAATATCATATTTGCTATCGATTAATTTTCTATTCTATTTCTGTCAACAAACAGAATACACTTATTTATATATCATTTATTTCGTAATTATTTAACGTACCTTTAGTATACAAATCGCTTCCATGACCAATCGTACACCAGCCGGCGGACGTTTCATGGATTTGACGATATGGATGTCCTGCGGAGTCAAGGTGTTTAAAGCAGCATTTGCTGCGTCTAGTATCGGCATTACTTGCTGAAGATCGGCATCGCACTCAGCGCGGATCTCTTTGGCTTCCGTGGCGACAATCTAATAGCAATTACACATTAATTAGTTAACAATGAATAAAATCAAAATAAAATTTGGAATCAAATTCGAAGGATGAAAATTAATATTGGAAACTTGGAAAATTATTAATTTCTAACAAACCTGTAATTAAACATTTAATTATTCAAATAATAATGGACTTAAAAAAATTAAGACTAAATTAAAAATACCGAGATCGAATTTTATATGCATTAAAATCTCAAATAAAAAATCAATTTTGTAAATATCAATTAAAAATTTGCCAAAATCCGCTCTTACCATAGCGGCCTCTTCGTCCTTTTTAACGACTTGTGCGATCTCGCTGGCTTCCTCGCTCTGCTTCTGCACATTCAGAAACATACTCTCCACATCCTTCGCAGCCACTAGCAGCTTCGGCTGAAGAGCTATCAGGATCTGTTGCATCCTGCTGACTTCTTTGCGCGTGCTGTCCAACCTGCCAAGACCAGCCTCGTATCTCTTCTTGCCCTCTAGCACTTCCTTCCGCTTCTGGTCCAGCAGTTCCTTGAACGTGTTGATCAGCTCCAGATAAGAAGTCGGTGTAACGTAATTGTAGCGATTCGATCGTCTCAGAAAATCCTTCGTTAGTTCCTGCGTGGATATATGGAAGTATTGACACATCGCAATGCAGGCGTGACGTTCGTCGCTTGGCATGTCGATCTCGCTTAAGAATTGCGTGGCGACCGCGAGCAGGGCATCCTCAGGCCAGGGTTGCAACCAGTCGATGGTGCAGCAGTTGACCAACGCGGGAAATTTGCGGACCCGGTTGCGGAAGCTGTCGCCTATCGGCGACATCGTCGCCACGATGTGCAGATTCTCGCGCACTGTCTGCACGAAGAAATTGAAGAGTGCCACCGGGCTGCCGTCCGTCTGTACGGATCTAAATGTTATATAGACGAGAAGTTGTAATGTCAATTAAACAAGTTAACCCGTTGATTATTATTTCATTTAACTTTATTTTACTTTATTTGATTAATTAAAATTAAAAATATTATTTCGATCGATTTTTCCATCGTCCTTTTTTTATATTTTCCTATTATTTTATTTTTTTACATTTGTTTCCTTCATAAAATGTTTTAATATTCACTTTTTCCTTCACAAATTTGAAACTCAATATATGAAATAATTAATTCTCAATATATGAAATAATTAATGTTTTAGATCATTTCATCCTATGGGTTTATTAATTAACTTCATTCTAATGCATTTTTAATTAATATACAAGATAATTTTATAATATAACACTTCTTTTCGCGATATGGAAATCTTTCTCAATGCAATTTTAATCTTTCCGTCAATATTAATAAATAAGTTAAATCCACATAAAGTAAGTATCATTTTACGTGAAGCAAATATTTGAGGATCTGAGATGAGAAATAATTACAAACAGAGTAAGATTAAAATACTATTTTCTTATATTATATTCAAAAGCATTTCCTGTACTTTATCAAATAAAATACTTCATGAAGAACTGTAAGGTAATTATTAATTACTCAAATAATATCGTTCTTATCACGAACTTAATAAATATGAGTTGCGTTGATTATGAAAGACATATTAATATTATTGCTATTTAATCGAAAATTTAAATTATTTAATTTCAATGGAATATTTTACTCGCGGGAGAGGTAAACCTGTCTCTTTGCCGATCGATGATCCGCATTTTCTCGCAGATTTCGGACTTCTCATCCGCTGCGAACAGATTGGGCACCTCGCCGGAATTAAGAAGATTGCTAATATCCTCCAGGAAGGCCTCTTCCTTGATTTGCGTGTCCATGAAGAGGAAAACCGTATGCAAGTCGCTCGCTGCGCTTTTCTGCAGGATGTTTTTCAGGTCTTCATGCCATTCATACATGCCGTACTGCTGAGATATCTGCACTTGAAAGAGCTCGTAGTCGGATATATGGGCCGCCAACTTCGTCAGGGATTGTCGACCGGAACCACCCATGCCGACCAGAAGAGCGTGGCTGCGTGGCTGCATCATCACGCGGCAAATTTTTGAGAGATGCTCTATCGCGAATCTGAGAAATCAAATTAATTCGTTATTGATTGTTTAATTGTTCAGTCCAATAGTTGCTAAATGTATACCTCGATATATTTAATAATCAAAACCCGCAATGTCATGATAAAGAAAAAGATTTTAAATTAATCATTAATCAAGTATCTAAGAAACTATACTCTTAATTAATTCGCGATCCTGGGAAAATTGAAAATCAATATTAATGATAATGATCTTTCTTCACTCGTTTTAAATAATTATCAAATATATTAATAATTTTTCAAATTTGGATTATAATGGATTTTCCTTTGCTTCGTATAATTTTTATAACATATATAATTTTCGTTAACATGTGGTTTCTTTCATGATTGATTGATGAAAAATGCACCTGAAGAGCACCAGATCCATTGGCGTCTTCGACATATCGTTATATTCTGAGAGATATTCCTCTACCGCTTCGGCGAGCTCGTCCCAGTCTTCGACCTCTATATACATTTTCTGTTCGGCAATCGGATCGTGAAAGTCGCAATAGACGAGATTTCGCAAATGCACCTCCGTCACCTGTGCACCAGGTTCGTCCAGTAAATCTTGAAAGAGATAGTCCATGTCATCATCCATATGCTCCTTTATGGCACTCCGAATTTGTTCCACTAGCCATTTATTATCGGTCTCATCAACCAATCGATCGCCATAAACTCGAAGCACTTCGTGAACCCACAAACGCTTCATGTTGACCTTAAAAAGTTAGATAAAATTTCAATTGTTTAACTCATCAAGGTAATCAATCTCTAATTTAATTCAGCAATAGTAAGAAGAATATAAGTAGTAATAAAAAAAAAAAAAAAAACAATCCAAATATTTTCAAGAAGAAAGATTCAAAAATGAAAATTGTGATATTAATATTATTTGCTTAATATCATTTGCTTTTTTCTTAATATAAAAAGCAAGTTGAGAAATTCTGCACAGTTTACGTATTCTAATAATCGACACCCTTTCATACCAAATCGATGATGGTTTCGGGGGTGGAGAGCAGTACGCCTTGAATAACTCTCGAGAAATCCCGTAGATTAAACAGATAATGCGACTTTGCTGGTGTCGGTAACAAATTCTTCCTGGCTTCCTTGTATACGTTCAGAGTTGCGTGAACCACGTAATCGATACACGGCTCGAAGAACTCAGGAAAGCCACGGGTGAAGAAGTGCCAGGCAGTGATCCTGCCGAATATGGTGATCAGAACGTTGTCATCAAACTCAGGAATCGCTAGGGTGACAAAGTGTCGCTTGAACCTCGGCGTGACGTCACGTCCGCCCACGGGCGGTCCCATCGCGCACATTAGTTGTATGTCCACGAGCTTGATAGGTACCACTTCCTTTCGATCGTACCAAGTCCAGTGATCCAGCCACTGTCGCAAAAGTTCAATGGGGGGCTGCGCTCCGAACTCTTCTTTTTGCGGCATTGACACATCGTCCACGAAGATCACCCAATGTTGACCAGGCGGTGCTCCGTATAATCCTTAATAGAAATAGTATTAGTAAATAATACGAATATAATACATTTCCCTGACTAACAGAAGCGGAAACACCTCGAATCGATGACAAAAATAACGAGGTAAAAGAATAACTTCATAATCGAATCATAATTGAATAATAATTTTTAAAAAAGCATTTTAGCAAAGTCGACATTTTATCGGTCATTCTACTTTCGAAATTCATTTCTTGGCGATGCTCTAAGTGATCCCATTTCCGAGTCGATCGTCGTGCAAACTCTACGAAAAAATTTTTAACTTCGAGATCACGCATAGGAAAAAAATTGTTTTCAACTTTGCTCGAGATTTTTTAAAAGTTTAAAGTTTCTTCTTTAAAGTAGAACCTTCGAACAAAGTTGAAAATAGTTTTCTTTCTTATGAGGGAAAAACTTAACAAGATTTTAATCTCTCATACTTTAAAATCCTTTTTGGAAAGGTCCTCTACTTTTCACGAAGTTTCAGGAAATAATGATATTAAAAATCCTTTTAATTATGACTCCTAATAATTTTCAAATGTACATATTTAAGAAAAAATATTATCATTTGCCGATAATAAATTTAAAAGTATCGAGATCGATAACTTTAACCACAGATAATAAACAATTTCTTTCATCTCTTGTATTTTATTCAATAATAATAATTCCAGTAAAATTTATATGCGAAATAAATCAACCAACCTTTTTTCCTTCGGTCCAATTTACTCATAATGATATCCTGCGTCTGATTGGCAGTGGTCTGCGCTGAGAATATTACGAAAAGCGGCTTAAAAATCTCAGGATTATTTTTCTTTAGCAAGAACTCCATAATGTAGACGGACTTTCCAGTGCCCGTCGGCCCGACCAGAAGGATCGGCTTGTGGTGGCGGACAAGGTGCCAGAAAAGGTGAAAATATCGAACGGTCTCCACCGTGGAGACAATGATCTGGTTCACTGGCATATCCTTGGGGATCGGCGGAACATCCTGCAGATCTTCCAGCCAGAGTTTCCACTTGCCTTTGCCCTCTTTGATATATTTGTAGTCAAAAACCGAGCCGACAGTCGGTAAAGAGACTATGTAAGGTTTCTTCAGATCACCGATTTCTGAAGGTATGGCGAAGCGTTGGCGCACTTCCTTCGGGAATTCGCGTTCTGTCAACGCTCTGAAGAGCATGTCGAACCATTCGCGATAGTCGACCATTAGGGTGATGCCCATCGCCCAGATGCACGAGAAGAAAAAACAGCCCTGTTCATCGAAGAATTTGTTTTTTTAATATAAATATTTTTTTCATTAAAATTACTGCGTATTTTATGAAACCTAACCGATTGAAGTTTCAATCTTGGGCTTGAGTATACGTCATTAACGAATACAAAATCAATAGATACTATTTATTAATTAAATCTAACTTATTCAATTCATATCATTTAATTAATTCTATAATTAATTTCTTATCAAAAGCAAGCACATAATGTGAGTATTGCGTCAAGATAAATATTTAATATGCATACGTATATGCATAAATTAAAATTAATTATCCTCGTTATTCTAGATTATGCTTATTAATACAATGAAAAGTAACAAATTGCATTAATTCGAAAAATGCATTTTTAACTTTAATTTTTTTTGCCTACTTAAGATTAATCACAATTGATGTAATTTGTATAGATAAAAGAACGCGATAGTTTCTCATAATTTTGTAGTGTAATTTAAACTCACTTCCACTTGCGCTTTCACGTCCAAATCCGAGAGTGCGCTCACGTACTTTTCGTTACGAAAATCGTCCAGGAAGCAGTCGTACAGGTACATAACCGAGCGCGTTAGATTAGCATCCGGCATTGTTATCATTTCCTACGGGTAGAGAGTCTGTGAGAACTCGTAATTTCCGGCGGAAACGAGAAAAGTTTCTCCGTGGAGAAACGTAATACGCGAAGTTTATTTGTTTATTCCTTCTCTAATAACAGATATTATCCGGTACCACGTATAAATCCAGAAAGACAATTGTACAATGGGAGGAATCTGAGGATATTTTAAATTTCGAAGGAAAGAGGAGTTTTAATGGTAATCTCACCCGTGCGCCACAATGGCGAATCAAATGCAATAGGGGCGGACAAAAGCGCAAGTACATGTCCTTCAAATGGCTCTTAATATCCTCGGTGAAACTAGGCGGTAATGTGTTCAGCCACGAGATCAAAAGTGGAATCCAGCCCAGACTCATTGGCTCCATATAGATCATACCGCATCTCGATACTGTGGCAGGCGATGCAACCTGATAAAAAAATGTTCCAATTAAATATTTGAAGATTTTATATATTTATTTCTAATTACTTTCTTGTTAATAAATGTTACGATGTTCGAAAAAAATGAACACAGTAATAATATCATAAAATTTTAGGAATGTTACTTAAAAGAAGACATATTTAAAGTTTATATATCTAAATCTAAATTTTTTATTTTCAATAAAATTTTAATAATGAATCTGTTGTAACATTTTGTTTCAAATTTATATTGTAATTTATGATTTTCAAGCTTTAATTTTTATGTTTGTGTAACTTCTAGCTGACTCTTAAAACTTAAATATAAATTTTTTTAGCTCCTATGTTTTAAATATTTTAAATATTTTTAAATTTGAATATAAAATTTCAACTTTTTATTTCTCTTTCAAGCGCAAGTATTTTATTATTTTACGTTTGTATAAATTCAATTAATGCATTTTAAAATTATTTTTTCATAATTATAAATATTATAAGAATGAAAAAGAATAAAAGTTTTGTATCTTTTACAAGTTTTTTAGTAGTTTTTTTTTTTTGTATAAATCAATATCTACATTATAACAACAAAATTCCATTTCTATAAATATGCTTTGATAATAGATATAAATTACTAAATTATAAGTCACCTCCAAATCCATGGGCTCGAAAATGAGATTCGTCGTAGGCGCAAGCAGGATAATTTCTCCAGACGTAAGACAGAGTTTTTTATTGTCGTCCAGTACAGTGTTCATGTTTTCAATCCAGAGTGCATCCACTGGTCCGTCGAAGACCAGCCATTTCCTGTTTAGATTAGTAGAAGTGGCGAAGGCTCGGTAGGACACCGCCAGGACTCCGTCGCTCCACTCGTGCGACGCGGGATCAAACTGACCGTACAACTGACCCATGGTGATGGCTTTGGGATTGATGACGGTGATCTCCACGCGATGCTCGTTCATCAATCCTCTGTCCTCCAGAAGACCGAGGCAATCTGCCAACATCCTGTAAGCCGAGGTCTTGCCACCGAACGGTAGGCCGACAATCATGAAGCCGTGGCGTACGATCATCATCTCGTAAATCTGCTGGATCTTCTCCAGGAAATCATCTGTACACTGTAGATTTGCCATGGCGCACGCATCCCGCGTGCACGCGTTGATGTGAGTGTAATCTGGTGTCGGCAACACGACGCCCGGAAATAGATCCGAGGCTATTCCTGGCAAAAAATTCATTGTTTATTCAAAGTAACTTTCACTTACAATCAAACCTGACCGTAAAAACCTGACAGCAACATTGAAAATAATATTTATTTTCAACAAGAAAATTATAATTTGTAATTCAATTTTTATAATTTTTATAACAACTTTTAAAATTAATTTGATTTCAATTAACTTTTGTAATATGATTTATAATGTATATTTGTTTAATATGTACATTCAATAATTTATTTAATGTATAAATTCACTATATTCAACAAAAATTTAGGTGAATCAAATCAAATGGTCGAAGAAATCATTTTGCCTCTAAATAATTAAAAATGACTAATTGTAAAAAGAAAATGAAAATCTACCTTCAAATAATGGTAAATCGTGAATCAGGAATTTTGGCAAATTAACATCCAGAATGCTCCTCAGCATCAAGATGTCCTCAGATTCATTGGGATAGCGAAGCTTCAGATTGCCAGCAGCGATCAATACAGATTTGACAGCTCTCATGCCGTAATCATAATGATGCTGACTACTGAGCTGCTCTGAACAGAGTTTGTAAGCGGTGACAATCTTCACGGCTAACGGTCTGCCGTTATAAAAGCCATAAGAGTACAAGGTGTTTTCCGCGATCAGAGCGTAATCAGGCACCATCATTGCCACCGGACGGAAAAGAGCCTTAAGATTGTCCGGCAGCTCGGTTCGGCCAGCGTAGCCCGGATTCATGGTAGTAAATATGGCGCAAGTGGGATCGAGGTAGATTTCCGTACCCTCGAAAATCATCTTTTCGGTGCCGGCGATGATCGCGCACTGGATCGTCAAAATCTGCTGCGCCACAACCGATAGGACCTCCAGGTCGATTCGATTGAACTCGTCGAAACAAGACCAGGCGCCGCACGAGGCGAGGCCTTTGAAGAACTTGCCTAGCGCGATGTAGTCAAGACCCTCCGAACAATTGAAGACCACGCACTGTTTGGCGACCGCCTTTGCCAAATCCTTTGTGGTTTCCGTTTTACCAGTGCCAGCTGGTCCCTCAGGCGCACCGCCCAGATGAACATTCAAGGCGCCAAAAAGAGTTCGATAGCATCGATCAGTCGGTGGAGTGATCACCAGGCGAGAGGTATTGCCAAGATATTCACAGCCATAGCGTATGTACGAATTGATCATATACGCCCACAGGTTGTCATCCTACTCGAACAGATGTGATTGCGAAATAAAATAAAATGTAATATTAATGTAAAATAATATAAAACTTAGAGAATTAGCTCAATTAATTAATTAACATAATAAAGGGATTGTATTTTAATTTTTTAAATTGTAAAAAACTTGTTTATGTTATAAAAGCTAAATTAAAAAGATATTAAAGTTGTCTATTCAAATATGATATCGTGATTATAGTTTTTATATATATATATATATATATATATATATATATATGTATAAATATTATTTATTGCATTTATTAAGTATCCTTACCAGCCAGTAATATCTAAGCTGACACAACCATCTAAAGTCAGTATTTTTTACCACTTGCTCGTTGTACAGTTCTGCGAGGACGTCTTTACTGTGAACATCCAAAGTAACCAGCGCCTCTAATAAAAACAAAGCATTTCCAGTAATATATTTTCATATATTTTCTAAAATTTTTTCTTAATTATTATTATTATTATTATTTAATTATATACCTAAGGTGATACGATTCTGCTTTGAGAGGGTTCCTCTAATTAATAGAATAATGTTGTTTAACTCTTCCTGACATTGCGCTAAGTATCTCTTTAAACCGGTCACTCCTTCCAACATGGCCTCCTCGACTTGTTGCGTCCAATACGTCTGACCCACACAGAGGACTGTCTGGCCGGGCCATTCAAGAACCCAGACCGTTCTCTCCTTGGCATGATATGCCAGGATCGCTTGATGCACCATGTAAAGCACGCTTTTCCGCATCTCAGTTTCGATTTCGATCAACCACTTCTCAACTTGGCCTCTGGCAGCGGAAGTAGATATGATCTCTAAAATTTCGACCTCTTCACCTTCCGTAGATCGCATCGCCAGCACTTCGAGATCCTCATTGAACTTCAGTCGAGCTATACCCTCGAAACATTTTTTCAAATGCGGTTGCACTCTAAAAAGCAATAACATTATCCTTCTTATTCTCAAAGTCGTCAAAATTAGATATAACAAATAAGTTATATAAATAATTTATTTAAAACGTAATTGTATATCTTTTCCAAAAAAATTAAGAGAAAACATAGCCTACTGTCCTGCTTATCCAAATTAAAATTAAAAATATACATATATACAAATATACAAATATATGCAAAATCAAATTACATAAAGTTAAAATTATTAAAAAATTTTGTATATATATATATATATATATACATAAATTAAGAAAATAAATTACTCGTTAATTATTATTACTTTACACTTGATTATTTTTAACTTAATTTTATGAAGTTACCGCGTAGGA